CGGCGACCCTCCCACTTCCTGTGCGGCCGGGCGGGGCGGGCTCGGCGGGCGGGGCGCCCGGGCACCTGCCGCGCGCCGGCCGCGCCGCCGTCCCTCCTGGGCCGCCCACGTGACGCGCTGCGCCCCCGCCCCGCGCTCCGCTGGGTCGCAGGCTTCCTTCCGCGTCGCTCTCGCGGCCGCCTCCTCCGGGAAGCCTCCGGGAGGGAGACCGGGCCGCGGGAACAGTTGGCCGCAGGAAGGGCGCGCCTGGCTGTCAGCGGCACGCGGGGCCCTCTGGCCACCTTGGTGGTGTGGTCGCACTTCCGAGTCCCCGCGTGCACCACCCGGCCTTCCCTGGCCCCGGGGTCCCGCTGTCCAGGAGGAGACTGCAGCACCGGGTGTCCAGGCTGCCCCCGGGGCGGGCGGACTGCACACTCTCCTGGGAATGGCCGCCGAGAGCCCTGGAGGTGGGGTGGGGAAGGTGTGTTGGGGTCACAGGGTCACCGCAGGAGCAAAGGCCTCAGGTGGAGGAAACCGGGCCAGATAAGAGGCTGGGGGCAGGTGGGGGTCAGACCGGACCAAGGACAGGGGCTAGGCCCACCCTGGGAGCTGCAAGAGCCTCGGGTCCAGCACTGGTCTGCAGCAGGGCCAGCTGGGGAGTGGGGCTTGAGATGCAACCTGGCCATCCTGCCTCTGCTCACACCATCCAAGTCAGATTGTTACCTTGTCCCCTGTCGTCACTTTTTCAGTCACTCTGGATATGACACTGAATCCAGATTCTTTGTCATCTCCAAGACACTTCAGTCTGCCCAAATCCCCCTCAAAATACGGCCATCAGAGCAGACCCAGTGCACACCAGGTAGAGGGGAAGCCACAGGCCCTTGGGGCTCAGGCTTGGTGTTTTGTTAGGTGTCAGGGTTTGAGGGACGGCCCTGCCTGTCACTCCACTGTCCTACCCAGTCCCTGGCCCTGTACTGCCCCCCTCAACCCCCAGTTCCCCAAGAGCTGCCCTGAAGCCGGAGTTACCTGGGTGTCGGTAGTTTCCCTGTATGTGGTTGTCCCCTGAGCAGGACAAAGGCTGGCACCAGCCCAGCTGGAGGGACAGGAGGGCCCAGAGTTCACCACCTGGGTGGCCCTTCACCTCCAGGCACTTCCTGGGAAAGGTGGGTGGCTGCTGCCCCCAAGTGGTCATCCTGGGCACTGCACCCACAAGGCCCAGCCTCCAGGAGGGAATGGGGTTGGGTGGTCTGGGAGCTTCCTGACCAGAGGGGAACAAGGCCACCCGGGGACTGGAGCCAGATGGAGCAACATAGCCTGCTGGGGGTGCTGAGGCCCAGAGGGGAGGCCACGGCCTGGCAGGAGCCCAGACAGAGCCTGGCCCCGGCCACTGGTACTGTCCTGTGGAGCCCTCCTTGAGAACCTGACTCAGCCCCTGAGGGTTGACCACACTTGAGCCACTGACCGGTTGTGCCCACTGGCCGTTCATGCCCACATGGGCGTCTCAGCCACCTGAACTGGCTCTGTCTCCAGATGGGAGGCTTGGGGACCCATTACCTGGCCCCCGCTGGCACCCCCGGGCCCAGAGACAGCTGTCCGTGGTCGAATCACACTCCTGCTAGTTACAGGTCCAGGGGGGTGGCTGCCCCTCCCTGTGCCTCTGTTCTCAGCTGTCCAGTGGGTCCCAAGAGGATGCTGGGGACCTGCCCACGAGGCTGAACCCAGGGCTGGGCTGGGTGCCGAGGTGGGAAGGCACCAGCCGAGAGCTGTGAGGGACCCTCAGGGAGAGAAGGACCCCGGGGGGCTGCCAGCAGGCCTGGTCCGTGCACTTTGCACTCATGGTAGGGCCAGGGGCATGGGGTCCAGGGAGTGGGCACTGGGTGGCACAGAGCCGATGGCCCTGGAGGATGGCAGTAAGTTCCCTTCCTAGCCTCGGTCCCTGGCCTGGGAGCCAAACTCTCCTCCTCTGTGAGACCCCAGGGTGACCTCGCGGGTCTCACTTCCCCCTTAATAAACAAGGGTCCTGAGGCGCAAAAGAGTGTTCAACCCCAAAGCTCCCTGTCTGCCTTCCCCATACCCAGGGACATCTGCCCCAGTCCTTCGCGTCTCTGCCCCGAGGGCACTTCTCAGAAGGCCTTCCTCGATGATCCTGTGGAGCCAGGACGATGTACCCCACCCACCCAGCCCGAGTAGCTCTCGAGGTGGGTGGACAGTGCTGCCCCCGCAAATATGTGCGAGTCCTGCCCCTAACCTGTGAGTGAGACCTCCTCGAGTGGGAATAGTGTCTTTGCCAGTGCAGCCAACTATGGTGAGGCTGTGCCGCCCCACGGTGGGCCCTGACCCATGGAAGGGAAACCTGGGTGCAGACCAACCCTGGGAGATGGGTGCAGGGCTGATTGTGTGAGGCGGCCACAAGCCAAGGAAGGCCGGGAGCTCTGGAGCCCGGGAGCTGGTGGGGCCGGGGAGGACCTCCATGGGCCTTTGGAGGGAGCATGGCTCCACAGACGCCTGGATTCTGCAGGCAGGGCTGGTTTGGCTCTGGACAAGCGATGGCAGGAATGTCCTCTCTCTGTGCTGGGCGGCCCTGTTTCTGGCCTTGTAGGCCACAAGCCTCCGGGGTCACAGTGCTCCCGAGGGCTGGGAAGAGGGCCGAGGCTGCGCAGCCGAGGTGGGGCTGTGTACTGGGCAGGTCACCCTGCAGGGCTCAGGCTCCGTCCAGCAGGGTGAGGGGATCCAGCCTCTGCGACTTGAGAAGCAGGAGCCCAAAGGAGTGGTTTCTGCCGCTGGGTCCTCCCCGCCAGCCCCATTCCCATGCGACTTGGAGGTGATGCCACTGTCCCCTCGTGCAGCTCCAAGGCCTGTTCGAGGTGGGGAGGCTGTGGTCATCTCAGCCCCTGGTGCCAGAGCCTGCTCAACATCACCACCGTGTGGCCTGGCAGGGGACCTGTCACCCAGGGTCCCCTGCAGGGGAGAGGAGCTGGGCCCTGGACCTCAGAGCTGTTGGATGACCTAAGCCGTGCAGCCCCTGGCCTGCAGCAGCCACACCCCCCTTGCACCTGAGTCCCACCCACTGGGGACCTGTCAGGACTCCTAGCTTTTGCTTGGTGTGGGTGAGGAATAGCACAGAGAGGCAGTGCCCTCAGGTGGCCCCCAGGAGACCCCTTGCCTTGCCTTCCCAGGTGCCCAGGACCAAGGGCCAAGAGCCCCCACTGCTGTCCTCCCTTCCTGCGGCCACGAGGTCATAGGCCTGCATTCTAACCCAGGCCAGGCCACCTATTGGCTGGGTGACAATGGGCTAGACATGCCTCCTGGTTAAATACAGCAATGATGACCTCTGTGGGGGGGTGTTCTGGGAGCACTCAGCAAGGACCCCCTGCAGAGCCCCCCCCCCACCGCCAGGCCTGGGGCCCTGTGGGTGCTGAGCAGGAGGCTGTGGACATCTGCTGTTAGGGCACCAGAGTGACTGTGTTCCCTGATCCCAGGACCCCTGGGAATGATTAGGGACTCCTCCAGGCTGACAGAGAAGTGCACGTGATTAAAAACAAGCAAATCAAAACCCACACGTCTCCTTCGAGTTGAGAATTGAAGCTTTTCGGGTACTGTGGCCGCGGTGGGCACCAGACTCCCCTCCCGCCAGGGGCAACTAGAAAACTGAACCAAAAGCACAAGGAGCAGCTGTTGTGGTGTGGACAGCAGGGTGCTGCCCCACCCTGCAGGAGGAGAGGCAGAGCCAGGGGGAGGCCAGGGGCCTGGGACTTGTGGGCAGAGCCCTGGAGAGCTGAAATCCCAATTGCATCTGTGACCAAATGCTGGCTGAGCACCACAGAGTGAGGCCTCGGGAGGGGGCAGCAGCTACCCCAGGAGCTCTGTGGGCCAAGACACGCCTGCGTCCACGGGGCAGGAGCCACTCAACCCAGCCACCCGGGATGAGGAGGCCGACTGCTCACCAGCGCACTCACCACCACAGCCAGGTCTCAGGGGCCGGCTGAACCAGTCCTGGAGCAGGGGCTCCTCCAGATGTGACCAGAAAAGATTCAGAACAAGTTCAGGAGGGGCCGAGTCCAGGAGGGCCCAAGTCCAGGAGGGGCCAAGTCCAGGAGGGGCCGGGCTGATGGCAAGTACGCGAGACACCCGTCAGCACAAAACTCAAGTTGTGAAAGGAGAGAGAACGAGGTCCAGAAACTAGCAGTGTCTGCAGCCTCCAGCACCCAGCACCCAGTCCCGGAGGTGGGAGCAGGAAGCCAAGGCCATAACCCGGAGGGAGATGGAGAGTGTGGTGACGAGCCGAAGGGACAGGGACACTCTAAAGAGGGAAACAACAACATGGAATAAGAAGCCGGTGGGTGGCAGCAGCAGCAGCAGCCCAGGCACCGCAGAAAGCAGAGATCAAGGCCAAAGCCATCCACCCTGACACCCAGAAGCAAGGCCGGGGGAGGCGTGAGCAGAGCTCGATGGCCGGGAGACAGTGTGGAACCGTCCAGGAATGGGCCAGGGGAGAAATGATGGCCGAAAGATTTCCAAATTGGATGGAAGTCAGATCTGCAGATCCAAGAGCCTCATGGCACCTTATGTGCAAGAGAAGCTGCCCCAAGGTGCCTCACCCTCCAGTGGCTGGGAACCAGCTGGGTGGGGGACTTAAGGGCACAGACAAGAAGGACTTCTGGCTTATCATCAGAAGTGCCGCAAGCTGAGAGCAGAACAGGTCTTCAGAGGATGGAAAGAAAACAAGATCCTCAAGCATCAGGATCATCTCAGGGACAGCATCCTTCAAAAACGAAAACGAAATGAAGACATTTTAAGACAGAAGCTGAGAGAATCCATGACCAACAGAACTGCTCTACGAAAAGATGTCACAGTGACTTTTTCAGGATAGAAGAAAATAAAACCAGGTGTCAATTCAGACAAGGAATATAAACCCTTGGAAATTGTAAGTGTATGGATAAATGAGAGAAAGGTTTTTTCCTGTGCTCTAAAATAATTTAAAGATGATATATTTTAAAGTCAAGGTAACAACTGCATTTTGAAATTTGTGACATCTGTAAAGTGAAATATATTACATTAAAAGCACAAAGGACAGGAGAAGAGAATAGACAGTTATAAAACTCATATTTTTACATGCAGTGGTTCGATATCACTTAAAGACAGAAAATAATAAACTAAAGAACAATGCTGAAAACCCTGGAGCAGACACTGAAAGTTAAGTCAGAAACAGGATTAATATCTTCTAGTATTAGGACACAGAAGAAAGACAACAGATATTACCATAAAAAAAAACAACAAAAAGCAAGATGGTAGCTTATATCCAACCCAGTCAATAATTATGTTAAATGTAAATGGATTAAAAACACTAGTTAAAAGATAGAGATTATCAGACTAGAAAAAAAAAAAGACCTGATATATGATGACTATTAGATAGGGTGATTCAAATATAAAGAAACAGTGAAATAAGGATATAAAATATTCATGTAAACACTCGTCATAAGAAAACAGGAATAGCTTCTAGGGTAAGAAAAAGTAGACTTCAGGACAGGAATACTACCGCGGGGAAAGAGGGACACGTTATAATGATGAGGAGTTCCACTGACCGAGGAGACAGAGATCCTGCACATTTACACACACAACAACAGGGGCCAGGAGGCATATGAGGACAAATGACCACTGACCAGAGTGAGAGAGGAAACAGACCCACAACTGTAGTTGGAGATTTCAAGACTCTCTCAACACTGGAAGGAGCAAGTAGGTGGGACACTCAACAAGGCTGTAAAAGACTCAAACGGCATAGTTAACCAACCCGACCTGACCCACTCACACAGTCACCATGCAGGGATGGCGATACATGGACATTCACCAAGATAAACATAAGTCAGGCCATAAAGCAAGCCTCGACACATTTTAAATGACAGGAGTTATGCAGACCATGTTCTCTGATCACAGCACAATTAAGTAGGAACCAATAAAAAGACAATACCTGCAAAACTCCCAACTATTTGAGAATTAATGAATATACTTTAAAGGAACCTAAAGGTCAAGGAAGAAATCACGGGAAACATTAGAAAATATTTTAAACTGAATTATAATGAAAAAACCCCCCAAAATTTGTGGGATGCATCTATAGCAGGGCCTTG